GTTACCTTGGCAGCTACCATCAAAATTCAGTTTTACCACTCCATCCGGTGGGGATTCCCATTTAGCTTGTGATTTGTTCTTTGTGGAGACTGTAGAAGCCACTGCTGCCCAGTTTCTCCTTAAGTCATCAAACGAGTAATCTGCCAACAAGTGTGAAGATTGTATTAGTATTAATAAAGGGAAAGTTTCCCTCAAACTACAAAACTGGAGCAAATATGATCTAATTCCCATCGATTTGGAATTACAGTGGAGTTTTTTGATCATTGATTATAACTAGAAGTGTCAAACAGTTCTTTTCGGCCAATGTTCTTTCAATGTGAAGTAATTTTGTTCAATATTATTAGATGATTTTTTTTTTAGGTCTTAAGATTAGTTCTTCAAAAACACAGGGGTGGATCTGAAATAACAATTCAGTACATTGTAAGACAATTCTACCAGGCTTATGCTGATAATGGTGTACATCTGTCAGAAGTTGGGACTACTATTTCATGCATCTCAAGGAGATCTGCTAGGATAAAGATGAACCCAATAGGATGATGGTAATAACCATTTTATTTATTGGTTTTTCTTGGAACATGTAAAATTTTACTGACCAACAAGTAGAATGCAATAACAATTTATTGCAAACTTCTCTTCCATGAGTTTCTTGTCTTTTTGTGCTTGGGATCTCTCATGGAGGACTTTTGAAGGGAAGCATTCCCTTGTGCATGCACCAGATATTCAACCCATGCCAATTGGAACTGACAGGTGCAACTGGAAGTTCAACAATAGACCCGAGAAAGTCAAAGAAGCATTCTTTTAAACTTCCCATGACTAATTTATGGTGCTCTAATGGTGGCAACACTAGACTAGCTTTCTCCAAGGATGCAGCATACCTAATATCTGTGTGGTATAAAATTGATTTTTAAGTAGGGTTGGATTGTTTTCATCTTGCAGTTACAACCTAGAGGCCAATATGTCTTTCCATTTTTCTCTCCTTTAGGTAATTTATTTGGTTTATGTATTGTTTTAAAGAAAGTCATAATTTTTCATTTCAATTTTGTCAAAAATAGGTATACAAAGTCTTCTGTTTATTTTTATTAATATTATTTTTAAAGTTATCTTAGAATCAAAGTAACTTAATTTCTGTTTTTTGGGTTGTAAAGGAGTAGGAAGAGCTCCAAAAATAGAAAAGAAATTAGCAGTAGTTTGGATTTCAGATATTGGAATTTCAAGGTATATCTTAGAGAAATCTAGTGTTGGTTAAAATAAGGGCCATTGCCCAATATTGGTCCCACCTAGCCAGGGTCTTGGGAAGGGTGGAACTGGATATGAGCCTAATCTTGGCATATTTTGCACAAAGTGTATCTTTTGAGTTTCAAATCTGTGTTCTCACACTTGTCAGCCTGATATTTTTACCAGTGCACCAAGCAATGACATCTATGATAGGTTAAATTTGTTGAAGAAAATAGCAAATGAAGATTTAATTTAAGAAAAAAAAACTAGAATTGACTGATTAGAATAAGTCTTTCAGTCTAGGCATATTGAACTGAAAGAATAGAAACTGGAATTCAGAAACAATAAAAACAAATACATGCAGAAAATAGAGGAAGATGATCATATCACCAAGGAAAAGGTATTGAGAGGCATAACCAAATGGCCCCAATAAATACAAATATATGCAGAAAATAGATCGCCCCCTAATTGATTACCATGGGGACCCCATTAGCAATAGCCAAATACCCTCTATAAACCCTGTTTCTTGATTTTTCTTTGATTTTCTGATTCCTTCCACTTTCCCAGCCCTGATACTCCTGTTACTTGATCACAAGCAGTTATTCCCTCTAGTTGATCCATATCATATGCCCAAGTATGCCTCACATGCTTAGTGCACTTTTATTGGACATGATATGATATTGCATGAACACTTTGTAGGTACATAGTGCTCACGCAGACCATCAAATTACAGAAGACACTAAACTGGTACCACATGGGCGCTTGCGATGAGCCCATAACTCATCGGTTACCTGTGATGAAGTCTAGAATTACGCGGTTCTGTGATAAACTTTGAATGTGCGCGGTTCTGCGATGAACTTCAGATACACACAGTTCTGCGATGAACCCGAGACCACTATAGAACTGCGGGTTATTATGAACCGGAGTTAAGTATTGGTTACACATGCAACTTCAGGATCACATGCGTGATAATGCGCCATGTAGGTTTAGTAAAACACTCCTGTTGGATGATGAGGTCACCCATGCCACGTCGGTTAAGTAGGTCACGAAAGGAAGTAAGTAGGTTAAGAAGATCTCATAAGACATATGGAGAAACCCTAGCAGTGTCTCTTAATAACGGATAGTGGATCTAATATTCCCTTTCCTAATGGGAATCAAATTCTTTCAGTGCCATCCTTTCGGGATCTCGGGATCCCTCCTTATAAATGGGAGTCCATCCCATGATGATGGCATTATTGGAATCATCCAATCTTCCTACCTTGCTCCCTTTTCACTTCCATTTACCCTAATCTTCAAACCCTAAATCTGCACCCGGTCTTCCTTTGTCCTTCAAGGAGACCACTCCTACGTAACCTAACTACCCTACTTACACACTTCTTGAATGCACTTAATATAGCTTGAACACTACAAAATATGTAGATTACTGGATGGTATATTTTTTAAGCCATGCTATAGAAAAAAAATGGCATGCTAGAACTTTAGTTATATTTGGAAGTATGTAAGCATTTAGAAATAATGTTTTCCTTGAAAAATATCTAAACATAGAAGCACATGGTATTAGCATATAAAATGGAATACCAGTAACCATCTCCATGTCCTGGATCTTAAGAAATCAGGATTCATATCCTTGATTCCATTATTTCGACATGGCAATATGGCATTCATATCTAAGCACAGGTAACACTATGAAAAAGAAGATAAAGAAGAATACATTTCTTTTGAAGCCTTTATTTATAAAATCCGTGCATTGGCTTTTATACTAATCAACGTCATTAACAACCGTAGGAGCTAAGTGTATGAATCCTTATGTTTTATGAAGGTATCTATAGTAACCACAGAATCAGGCTTGCAGTACAAGGACATTAAAGTTGGGGAAGGTCCTAGTCCACCTATTGGTTTTCAGGTATCTAGGTTGAATCTCTTACATTCAACTATCTTTCTGTCTGGAATTTTGGATTGTGTGCCAATGTCATAAGTCTTTATTCATGCAAATATTTGTTCCATATTAAACCATGGGATGGATAATGTTTCTTGGGTATCCTGTCCTTTAATCATGAAATCCTTTATGTTTTCTACACTAGTATATCTAGTTCATTGATTTTATTTGGAAATTTATAATCTGAATGCAGTGCATTCAAAGCTTGATAGAAAAGAATTTGATATATAAAATCAATCATATAAATTGCAGAGTAAGAGGGGTGGAATTTTTGTTAAAATGATCTCCACATATGAATTATCTGTAGTTATGATTACCTTTCTAAAAAGAATAAAATAATCTTTGACTTATGAATTGACTTGAAGATACAATTATGCTTCCCAACAATCAGCATCCATGTTTTTTCTTTCCTGTGGGACCAATTACCAGTTCTTCCTGATAACCTACAGTGTGGGATGGCTATATTTGTGTGATTGGGTTGAGCATTGATTATATATGTTTTACATCCACCAAAAGTACCAGCAAAAACTTTTATAGCTGTATCTTAAAAGCTCCATCAAATTTAAAATCCTGTGCAAAAACCTCTTTATCCAAAGTTGGATGAGTGTCTTTTTTTCCTATGAAAAGCAGAGAGGAGTCGAGGAGTTTATTTGTTACTTAAAATGGTTGACTCACTATCCCAGTTTTTTTATTACTAAAAAGTTGGTAAATAGCATAAAAAATTAGGCACTAGAAAGCAAGAGATCAAGGTAAAAGTTTATCTTTTTTTCTTTTTAATTACGGAGTTCAATTTCAAAAATTGTCAGGTATTTCTGCTGGAATGTGACCTTCACTCTTTCAAGAAGGTTTTTATGCTATCCAAGCATATGGAAATTGAACATTATGAGAAAAATCAGCTGAATTGAATATATTCTGGTAGTGCCATGCTCTTCCACCTTTTGAATTCAGGGCACTAGAACTTGGACATTTTTGTATCCTGAGAGAAAGCATCTTTAGCCGCCTGCCCTGCATTTAATACTGGCTAGGAGTGTGAAGATGCAAATGTGCTGGTCCAAATATGCAAATGCCTTGCAAAGTACTATTATGTTAGACTAGGCCATGGTTCTCAAATTGCATAGATTATTTGAGATAATCATATCCTTTTTCCTATCAGCAACAGTATAGATTACACAGGGCAAGTACAAACTCTGCAGTGTCCAAAAGGTACCAAAGGTAGCCCTAGCCTAAGAATGGGCCTCCTATATAACATATTTGTTATTTTCCATAAGAAAGAGAGAAGATAGAAAAGATAATAGTAGAAGATGGAATTGAGAGAACTCTAGTGGTGGCGCACGGCATCCATTCTATTATTTTATTAGGGTAAGCATAAAATGTAAAAAGACCATTCTGTCCCCATATGCAGTTCACATATTACAACATTCCTCTCAACTTGTTACGAAGTTCGCTGTGATGCTAGGTCATTGCACTCTTAGCAAATACATCAGCTAGTTGCTCCTTAGAGTTTAGATAAGGGCACATTTCACCAATTGCCACCTCTCAAATAAAATGTTTATCCATCTCAATGTGCTTGGTTTTGTCATGCTGAGATAGGTTGTGAGCTAATATTTATTGCAGCTTTGTTGTTATGATAGAATGACATAAAGTTAGTTTTAAGAAAGTTTAATTCATTGAACAAATTCCTTATCCACAAAACTTCAACTACACCATGTGTCATGGTAATTTGCATCAGCTTTTGATCTGACCACAACTGCCTGTTTTTTGCTTCTCCATATCACCAAGCTTCCACTCACAATTGTGTAATAACCAACGGTAGACCTCCTATCATCAATTGAGATAGTCTAACTTGCATCAACGTATGCCTCCATTCTTTGATGACTATGTTTAAAGAAAAGAATAACTGATGCAAGCATGAAAGCAGAAAAATCCCTATAAGAAATCAAGATTCTTCATATTATTCAACTAGTGGCAATTTCTTAATTTTTGGGTTATTTGAATATTGGTTTTTTAATTTATTATTTTGTAGTATCTTAGGATTTAGGTTAAATATCAGTTTTCTTAAAAAATCATATTCGTAGTAAAAATTAAATTTACTATTTGTAGTAATTTTCATATTATTTATAATAATTCCTATAATTACTATTTATTAGTAAAATTGCAATTTACCATCTATGTTGCCTGGATACCTGTACAAGGGTGTCGCATCGTGTCAGATACTTCAATTTTCATTGTAAATTTTGTATTAGATGCAGTATACAATTGTATCTTGTTGTATTATCCAGGTAACGTAGTTTATTGTTTTAATAATTTCTGGTGTGTTTTTGTTATAAGCTAGTTTTAGTAGGATAGATAATGGAGATTTGGTGTTGTTTAAAGGTTAGGGTCCTTATTTCAGTGTCTTTATAGGTTATCTATGGGTTTTCCTTAATTATAAAACAACTAAAAGTTGTTTTAGATCACTTTCTTAGTTGAAATCTGTGCTACCTGGATGCAAGGACACAGTTTGATTCAGAATTATATATGAAAAATACACTAAACATTGAAGTATCTGACACAATATGACGCCCCTGTATAGGTATCTGCATAAAATAGGTTGATTTTTGTATTAAAAATAATCTAGAACTGCTATTTGTTGAACTGGTTATACATGTGGACATATCATCACTCTGGAAAAACATAACATCATAAGCAGAGTTGATCTTCAACCAACATAGCGGAAGACAACAGATACCTTATCTCCACTAAATCTCTAGGGGCTTGAACTCCTAGGCCCAATGGTTAGATGTCCAACATCAACCAATCCATGTACAGGGCATCACAAAGACCAAAAAACACTTGCCGGCAGCAAAGCAGGAGCCAAAAAATCCAAAATTATTGAAACACTTCAGCAATCTCATGTTTTCCTTGATTTTTGTATGAAAATCTAAAAGAAATATGGAGTCCTCTGATGATCTTCAAACAATCAAGAAATTAATCTAAAATCAAGTATAACCAGGATCTAGGGTTTCCCTAACCCACTTGACTTGACCCTGTTGAATAGCTGTTGGCATCACCTGTGACCTGTACAAATGGTGACTTCAGCAGCTGGCAATTTCTGTTCTGTCTCACAATCCTTGGTCTATGTTCTGTTCTGTATACCAATTTGGAAGTCTGGTTATAAAGTCAGATTGATATAAGAAGATTCCTTCGTTTTGCCTTAATCAAATTCTTTGAGTTACTGATCAAGGAAAAACACCTTTGAGGAAAGGGTGGTGACTATGTCTAATTACCTCCTTAAACAACCTTATTTGCTTAAATACAAAAATCATTGTATAACAGAAATTACATTATTGCCTTTATGCTCACTACATTTGATTTCTTACAAGTTTCTCTATACTAAGTTGATTTAGGTCCTTGTATCTTTCTCACACTACCACTCAATAGTTTGATAGTTGTCTAGCTCCTTCCACATTGATGTGAGAGTAGAGAAATGGATAGAAAGGCTTGTCTCCTTAACAAGATGAGGGTTCCACTTGCTATTGGTAAAAATGTGCATCATGTCCTTGCTTTGCACAAGTATCCTTAGCTTAGTTCCATGTTTCTTTGTGTAGAGAACACTGATGTGGACCCCAATGCTGTGGTCCCCACTGTGTTTGTATGGCAGCATAGCATATATTTTTTGTTAGTTTTGTCAGTGTTAGTTGGTAGTTATTTCAGTTTGTTGTTACAGCTTGTTATATCAGCTTTATTATTAGTTTATTTGCCATGTAAGCAATAAGGACAATTCAGCCCTTTTACAATTAGTCAACATATATAAATATTAAGAGTGGATCGGCAGATCATTAAGATTGACCCTCTCTCTCTCTTTTCTCCCTCTCTTCTTCTTCTTTTCTTCCTCTTTTCTTCTTTTGAAATCTTTTCCTTGACTTCCGAATTCAAGAATGATCGTAGTCTTGATCGACTACTTGGTATCAGAGCAAGGATTAGGGTCTCTCATGTGAGTCTGATCCAGCCAACCACATGAGAGTTGCCTAGGGCTGGAAGACTAAGAAGGAGGATCGACTGATTCTTGGAGGCTACTGGTAGTGTGCAGCTACTACTAAGAAGATTGTAGAAGGTTGGGAGAGTTTCAGT